ACTTTGCTTTTTCCACAGAGCAAAACAAAGGCTGCCTTTTGGACGGAAGGGATGCACAGCTACGTCCTCTCCGACTGGGATCTCTGCTTGGGTGATTCTGATTCCACTTATGATTCATGGGCCCGCCATGCCAACATCATCACTGAACTCGACAACGTGAAAAAGACTGAATGAGTGAGTAGTGATGCGCATAGACTTAGTGTGGACCAGCAGCAGTAAGAATGAAGCAACTTGTCAGTTTGATTTAGGTAGTGCTTCATTGACTTAGTCATCCAAGAGCTCAGCTGGTCAGTCACTGCACTCACTTTCAGAAGTTTTACCTGCAGACACAAGTCACTAAACTAACTAGCTGTTTAACTTGGAGAAAATAGTTTGATTTTGTTGTTCTTTATGATTATGACACATTCACCTTGTATTTGTTATGGGCCAGTGACACATCAATAATAGGGGCCCTGTGTTGCTCCAGGTGCTTTGGGTGTTGAAAGAAACTTTTGTTGGGATCGAACTGCCCTGCGTTTACTCTATCGGTGTGGCCACAATCACAAAATACCAGAGCGATGTGCAATGTGTCTGTTAACCGATGGAGGGTTTCTTCACGGTATGTTAATCACGGCAGAAGTGGATTTCAATGTCTTGGAACTATAGTGCATCTCTGGCCAATGACACCTGAGTGTGACGATGATGTGCCAGTGGTGTGCACTGATTCCCACTGTCAAGGCCAGGACTGTGTGGGATGATATGCCATTTAGTGTGCATTGATTGATTCCCCGGTCAAGTAAGTGCACTGCCAGGGCAGGCTCCACTTGTCATATTACAGCATCCCAATTTTTCAAATACAGCATTGGACAGTGTGAAGTTGAAAAGTGATCGCCTGATGATGAACAATTCACCATTTGTAAACTTGAGACTTGACTGCAGAGTTAGATTTGTGCAATGCACTTGGAGTTAGGTTTAGTTCTTGAATCAACTTGGCTTGTCAATGTGAGTGTGTTTGGAAAAGTGTTTGGCTCAATAAAAGCTCCCGTTGAACCGTTGGGTCGCGAACCATTGCAGCTAGTGACTCAGTAGACAATCCAAGTCTACTGACCCTGGTCCTGAATATTATATAGCTGACTCTCACAATTGAGGTCGACAAGGAGATGTCTGACGCTGGTGCCACTGATGGCAGGACCGAAGCAAGTGCTGATGCCGCGCCAGACTCAGTGTGAGTCATGATGAAGTTAGACTGTCGCACAAGAGTCGTCTTAGAGTCTTTGACTGATTCATTGATGCTGTTGTTTTAGGTGCTTGCTACTTTGTCAGAGGCGGCGAACTTAGGGTTTGAACTTTGATTGATTTCAACAGGACATAGTTAGTTGATTGAACAAATTTGCGATGTTACTGCTGAGCCTACTGTTTCTCAGGCTGAGTCCAAAAAAGTGATTTCGTTCCAGATCGGGACGAAACGAGCTTACGAAAAAGGCGCTGGGCTCAGATTGAATGAACTTGACTTAGTCTGAAAAACCTGCATATGTCGAGGTCGAATAAATCAATTAGTCTGTGAAGCTGCTCAGGATTCGCTTTCCAATACACCTTTCTGAATGAGACGGATGGTGTCTTACGTTACTTATGTCACCAGTGCAGTTCTACAGGCCGGCCAAGTTGTGAATTCAGAAACTTTCCTTAGAATAACTGTGACTTATCATTCAAATGCATACTATATTATATGTTGTTTTGTTCAAGATTGTTTCAACTTTCCAGGCCGCCCGGGAGAAAAACTGCTGTTGCAGTATGGCACAATGGATGGCCATCCGACTTGGATGGCATACGAGGGGACGTGGAATGAAGAATCTGGGCAGTTCCAGGTCCGACAGGCGGTCTTTCAAACAAGAGACACCACAGTATTGTCTGAGGGGGGCAGACATTCTTGGCAAATGAATGAAGCGGCATCGAAAGAGGCAGAGCCGCCGTGCTCCCCGGCAAATTGGCAGGGGGACCTGGGCTGCGTCACGAAGAATGTGATGCGCTCAGGCGTGTAGAATGATTGTCCGAGTGTGACATGATTTCTCAATTTTGATGGTTCCTGCATCAAGCGTGTGGAATGATCGTCCGCGCAAAGTTTGTGACGTGATTTCCCATATCAGTGCTTGATTTTAAAGCAGGATACCTTGCTGATGCTGATGTCGCCTTTGAACTTGTGAGTTGCAAAACATTCAGATTGATTTAGGTCACGTGTCACAGTTATTTTCATTGTCACAGCAGTTTTAGCTGCCCACTGCTACTCAAAGGCACTGCTGGCCAATCCCGGAGGCGGTTCAACAGATTTTGGCAATTTGATGAATCTATCGTCAAACACGCCGCGCCAATGGATGAAAATGAAAAAGGGATATCATGATACATTAAATGACTCTGAGGCTGATACTGCTCACTTAGTCAAACTCATGATGACATGACATGATGGATTATGACGATTCCGGATGAATTGATATGTGCAATCGTGCACTTTTATTTGATTTGAATTTTTAGGAGTTCCGATACAGTACAGCAGCTCTTGATTTGTCACTTAACTATCTTAGCACAGTGCTCAAGTACAAGACATTCGGCAGAGCCAGGCCATTTAGTGACTCAACACTCTTGATTGGGTTGGAGTATATCGCCAATTGGACCACTTTGTAGTGACAGCCAGGGCTTATGATCTATGGAAGCGACAAAAAATTGTTTCTCTCATCTTATCTTGCAAATGAACAAGACTAGCGCAGCCAATAACAAGATGGGCACAAGGCTCTTGTCCGTCTTCGCCCCTGCAAAGTCAGGGTGATGCTATGGTCCCTATCATCATCCTGACTTTCCAGAGACGAATCGAGACATGTTTTTGCTTGTCAGAACATGACAACAATTGCGAATCAACGTCCAGCTCCAGACCTGCTGGACATAAGGTTGGCAGGCGGTGTGGCCCTGCTGCATATTAAGAATCACTGCTGTCCCGCACCTTTCAACTCGAGAATCGGTTGTGACATCGGTTTGGCTGGGTCATGCAGTTTCGATTTTGCGACAAGAAGCTGACAGCCATATTCTGGCATTGTACACGAGCATGCCACGTCGTATTGCCATCAGATCCTAATGGCAATCCTGCTGCACGTGGCTATAGCTCATGCAGTTTGGAGTTTAGAACAAGAAGGTTATCTCTAACTGCTGATGGTCCAGGAACCAGGAAGTTTGTGTGGAATGATGGTCCAGTTTGTGTGACCTGATTTCCCTTTTTTAAAGTAAAAGGGAAATCAGGTCACACAAACTGGACCATCCTTTGAAACGTTCATTTTCTGTCTCCGCTTGCTTGAAAGACCAGACCAGGTGAGTTTTTTGAAAGTTTTGTTGTCAGAAATTGTGGAGACAGTTTCTGTCTCCACAATATCTGACAGAATCAGGGAGGCATTGAGTGAGGGAATTTCCATCAATTCCATCACTCAATGCCTCCCTGATTTGCAAGAGAGGCATTCAGACATTTGCTGGACCAGAACTCCATTGACAAAGACTTTGACCAAAGCCTGACTCCAGTCCCAGCAGCTGAGTCAGCAGCTGAGTCAGGAACCAGGAAGTTTGTGTGGAATGATGGTCCAGTTTGTGTGACCTGATTTCCCTCTTACTTACAGCCATGGGCTTTGGAACGATCATGATCATATAAGCGATGGTATTGTCAATACCTGTCAGTCTGTCGCGTGTGGCTGTTCTCCCATGATCTCTCAAGGTCACAGTTCCACTGGGAGACTGAATCAATGCTCCACCAAGGTCACTGCTGGCTGGTGGTCCTGCTCCCATCCAGCAATGATGTTGGTTGTGAGTTTACAGTGAATTGTCACTGTGATGGCCGACGGTGAGGGGTCGATTTGCAGTACAAACCCAGCAGATTGGGGCCACCTGTCACTTTATGCGATTATGACAACAAGGACAATTGGTAAAAGTGCCTTGTCAGGACGTCTAGCTTAGCTCAGCTGACAGTTTGTGAAATCACGTCACATTGCGGACGATCATTCAACACCGCAATGTGACGTGATTTCAGAATACTGAGTGACTGTAGACCGGACAAAAATCAGCAGCCGATTGGTGCGGTGCTTTTAGTCACTTCCAGTCTGTCAAGACACACGTTTACATTACATGGAATCTGCATGGATCCGAAGCTGATGTCTGTCTTGAATCAGCATTCCTATGCTGCCATTATCACGCCTTCATTTACTGGCTCAAGTCGTGCAGCAATTGTACATTAATCCAGTAACAGTAGTCAGTGATGTCGTCAGTCGACCCTTTGGTGCGTTCGTTCAAGCGACAACTTGTTGCCCACCAGCTTCTTGACAAATATGTGGCCCTGTCAGTGTTCCTGGACCAGTATGTCGCAGCACCAAACTACTTGCTCCGCATGTCTGCAAACCCAAAACTGTCAAAGAGAGCATGGGAGAGAGTCATGTATCATGCAAGGAAGGCATTCAGACATCTGCTGGACCAGAGCTCCATTGACAAAGACTTTGACCAAAGCCTGACTCCAGTCCCAGCAGCTGAGTCAGTCAGTACAAGCTGATTTGATTGGCCTGATCCAAGACTGGTATTAAATACCATCTGAGCAAGTGTGTGCTGATCGACTGTGAGTATGTCAGTAAGTAAATGCACCGTATTTAATTAGTTTAATTGATTGTTGCTTACTAGCAATTCAATTCAAGACTGCGTATCATCTGATTGATTTGACAAGTAATTGTTCCCAGACTGTTCAAGTGAAGATTCGAAATTTTAATTCATTTAATTCAGTGCCGATGCTGCCAACTGGCCACCGAGTTGAAAAGGTTGCTGATATTCTTTGCCTGCAAGAGTCAGAGACATTCATTTCAGACTCTCACATTTGAGAAATCGGTTTCAGTTGTCTGAAATGATAAATGCTATTCATGAATGTGTTCAGTCATTGGCTCAAAACTCATCATCAGTAGCAGTCAGCAGAAATTGCTGCTGGACTTTATAACTGTGCTTTTCCGATCCCAATGTCGGTCACTCAGCGGTCCAAGAAAGCCCGATTGACTCATCAGCAGATGGCGATATCTTCGATGTTCCAGCCTGGTATGAATCCTATGGCCATGATGAATCCGATGGCGATGATGAATCCCGCCATGGCGGCCATGTTTCAGCAGATGTCAAACCCCTCAGCCCCATCTGGATTGACGATCAATCTGCCAGCTCACACAGATGATGCTCTCGTCGAAGGAGGAGAAGAGCAAGGTGAAGATGGCGGTGAGGATGAGGAACATGGGGAAGATGTGCATCAGGCCGTTTTGACAAATGAGAGTCAGAGGGCAGCAGTGACTCCAAAGAAGTCAGCGCCACCAGTGAGACCAATGTCGTCAAACCCGACAGCAGGACCCTTTCCACAGTCTCAGACAAAGGAGCCTCAGGAGGAGACTTCTGATGTCATCAATGAAGCAGTGTCCCGGGTCATGGCCACCAGGAACGCGCTTTTCAAGGCTACAAAGGGAGAGATGCCGATCCCGCGGAGCATCAAGTACTTAGGTGCAATGCCGAAGGCGCGCTCTCATGATAAAAATGTATGACACAGCCCATTCTGATTCTGTGAGGATACGTGTTGCCAAAATTGTTTGATATGATTGCCCGATTGTGTGGCATGATTATCCACCATGACTGAGTTTGACAGTCAGATGCTTTTTTTTTGGGTGGGTCAGTAAAAACAAAAGTGTCAATTCCTGTCAGGTGAGGCTATCTCAGGCCATTGAGGCATGCGACCCTGACCTGAATGCCACAGCCACATCAAGTCTGACTGAAGACGGGTTGCGACGAGTTCTTTGGTGTTTGACAAGGCAACGACCACTTGTGCCGATGAGTGGTCTTCAGGTGACACTCTACAACGAACTGTTCGCCAGATTGCTTGTCCGTCATCAGCAACTTGTGCGTCGGACCGTGAATTCCCAGTCGGACTCACTTGTTGACTCACTTGTTGGACGACAATGCAAGGATCTGAAGAATGAAACTGAATTGGTTGACAGTCTTGTCAAGCAGCTCACTGACTCTTGGGGTTTTGATCAGGGGTGGCTTGATGAACTCCATGCGATTCTGAAGAGACATGCAGAAGCCAAGACAAAATCCAGGGCAAAGGCAATCGGAGCACCTGCTGCAATGCCTGAACTTTTGCAGGCCAGACCATTGATGCAGGCATTTGCCAAGGCTGGGGCACCTGCACCTCGTGCTGGAGTGCTGAGGCAGCCTCCCACGGCAGCGCCAGCACCTGCGGCAGCGCCAGCACCTGCGGCAGCGCCAGCACCTGCGGCAGCGCCAGCACCTGCGGCAGCGCCAGCACCTGCGGCAGCGCCAGCACCTGCGGCAGCGCCAGCACCTGAGCCTGAGTCGTTAAGGCCTTCAGTGACTTCAGATCCACCATCAGTGCCTGATGATGCCGCAGTGACTGCTGATGCCAGCCAGCATGTGGAGAGTCGTCATGTGGAGAATCAGTCTGTGTCAGTGCCTGAGCCTGGAGAAGCCTTCGAAGCCGGTGAGGACTGATATTTTAAAAACAATTCTGTCTTGTGAAATCTTCGGGAGTACTGCCATTGTTATGTTGCATTTGGTTTTGCTTTGGGCAGGCAAGTTTCCATTCTCAGCATTTCATGTTAGTTGGGCTGGGTTTGAGGGAATGTTTGTCAGGATCTAGGCCATGTTGATCAGCCAGAAGACAGTGATTTGCCTCAGTGCTGCATTTGCCAGAAGATCATGAATCACCGCACTGAAGAGCTGATGGCGCTGGAGTGCTCCCATGTCTTCCATGTTGCTTGCATCACTGAGTGTTGGACGAAACTCGGCAAGCCACGGTGGTGCCCATACAAGTGCACGGAGAACGTAAGCAATGTAGAGGACGATGACTGGGCCATGGGCAATAATGACGATTCAGCAGTTGGCGCTCCTGAGCGACCCCCCCCAGGGACGGTTTTTGAAATCCTCATGTAATGTAATAAGAGCTGGGCAGATCAGATAGACACACGACATGTGATTGAGACACTTGAGAGGTGCTGTTGGTTACATTGCATGTATCACTAATTGAAGTTCCAAATGAGATGTTACTATCACATTGAAAGTTCGGTTTGCTTAGTATCTTTTTGTCCAATCTCTCATGTGTCTGTGTCATTTCGCTTCAGTGTCTGGGCAAGAGCCCTGTCTGGTCTGATGGCAGACCTGTGTGTGTCCTGATGCCTTTGTCACACTACTGGTGTGATGCACCAATGGCGCTGTGCGTGCTGATTTACTGATGTATGTAATGATGCACCAGCAGTCATTATGATGCTACTTAGCAGTAAGTATCTGAATACTTGTGCAATTCTTGTCGTCCGGTTCACTCTTTCACTCACATCAGGGTTCCCTCACTCACAGGCAAAAAAGTCAGCGCCTAGCAGCGGAGCCGGCAATCATGATGTTCAATGACATTCCCTGTATCGCAGTCGGTCTGGAAATAACACATTCATTGAATTCATCCATTCATTCATTCATTCATTCATTCATTCATTCATTGTTTTTCTTGCAACATAGATTCCGGCACAAAGTGACAGCAATTTTGCGCACCAACATTTACACATTAGATTATTATTGAAACATAGTTTTCGATTATTGAAACATTGATTTGATAAAATACTGTCATGTTTGATGTGCATTTTCATGTTTATTTATTAATGGTGAAAAATATGATCAGGTGAAGAAAGATCGCAAAACAAAGGGGTGGGTTCATCACAATTTTGTAACATCTGAAAATGTGGTCACTTGATCACATATATTTTTAGTTTTTTTTCCTCAAAATTTGTGATGCACCCACCAGATTTTTTTTTGCCAAAAATAGCAAACAATGATTATTTTTGGCCAGCAATTGTCCTCAAATCACATTGAATGTGTGCATTTTTTTGCAAGTTGATGCAAACAAAATACTCTATCAACTGACTTATTTTTTAAAAATTTCCTTTACTTTTTGTTTAGTTCACATATTTTTTTTGTCAAAATTTGTGATGCATCTCAAATTTTTTAAACCATAACTAGCAAAAAAAATGATTATTTTGGCCTGGCAATTGTCCTCAAATACATTGAATGTGTGCAGATTTTTGCAAGTTGATGCAAAAAAAAGCCCTATCAACTGACTTTTTTTTCTCATTTTCTTTTACTTTTTCCTTATATTGCCTCATTTTTTCTCATTTTTTCTTATTTTTTCTCATGTTTAAAAAAACTGTAAAAAAATAAGAAAAATAAGAAAAAATAGGAAAAAATAAGAAAACATAAGAAAAAATAAGAAAAAATAAGATGGGTTGGCCGATCAAAAATAAGAAAAAATAAGAAAAAATAAGAAAAAATAAGAAAAAATAAAAAATAAGAACAAATAAGAAAAAATAAGAAAAAATAAGATGGGTTGGCCGATCAAAAATAAGAAAAAATAAGATGGTGACACGGTGCCATAACAAAGGAGTTTTGACCCATTCTGCAAACTTTTGACGAGCCGAAGGCGAGTCAACGGTGAGTGTGCAGCAAACATTGGCGTGTTCCTTTTTTTGAATGGGGTCGAAGCCAGGGGGGGTCTAGCCAGGAAAGGTTTTTTGTTCATGGAAAAAGGTGAGTCAGCTGCCCTTTTTTCACTTACTAGTTTAGGGTTTAGCATTGAAACATAGTCTAGACAATATTTTGTTGCCCCTCGGGGGCCTACGCGGTAGCGCTGCCCTTTTTTCACTTACTAGTTTAGGGTTTAGCATTGAAACATAGTCTAGACAATACTACTAATGTGGCCTTTGGGGGCCTACTAGCCTACGCGGTAGCGCTGCCCTTTTTTCACTTACTAGTTTAGGGTTTAGCACTGAAACATAGTCTAGACAATATTTTGTTGCCCCTCGGGGGCCTACGCGGTAGCGCTGCCCTTTTTTCACTTACTAGTTTAGGGTTTATCATTGAAACATAGTCTAGACAATACTACTAATGTGGCCTTTGGGGGCCTACGCGGTAGCGCTGCCCTTTTTTCACTTACTAGTTTAGGGTTTAGCATTGAAACATAGTCTAGACAATACTACTATGTGGCCCTTGGGGGCCTACGCGGTAGCGCTGCCCTTTTTTCACTTGACTTACTATAATATATTTTATTTATTAGGGTTTACCATACGACTTAACTTAAACTAGTTAGTAGACAAAATTTGTCCCCTCGGGGAAGATTTGCATCAACAACTGGTTCAAAATCCCCAAGATCCTGTTCGCGAAGGCATGGGTGACGCGCGGCTACATGACGAAGGAGGAGGCCATGAACACCAACAGCTACACTGAGCAGGACTGGGATAACACCCACTTGTTGACAGACCCGCTGTCACTTTCGCATATTCTTGGGGCAGATGCTTCGTTGGACCACCCGAGCTTGTGCAGAATGATGGAAGAGTCGGAGACACTGCGCATGAGGTATGTCTGGGTGCTGACTGCAGTTGGGCAGCCTCGTGGTGGCCAATCTGGATACATTCCAGAGAGTCTTGCCTTTGTTCTGGAGAAGCGGCTCTGCACCTACTTGTCCAACTTTGCAAGTCTTTCAGCTGAGAAGCAGCAAGCATTGCCCACCAGAACAACCATTGTGTGGAACTGCAAGCGACAATCTGAAGCAGACATGCGGACCTTCAAGAAAAACACGATGCCGAATCCAGATGGAAGTGGACGTCGATCGTTTGTGCCAAACATTGGTGCAATCCGGGGCAGCAAGGACTGGTGCAATCATGTGACCAACTGTCATAACCTTTGCTTGCACCATCTACCTGCTCCATGTTACGGTCAGTGTTCTTTCAAGTGGGCTTGATAATGGTTCATGGTGGTGTGGGGCGTCTATTGTGGTATAAAATGATTTTGGTCATGGTAATGATGCTTGATAAACCCCCAGTACTGTAGTTCAGTAATGGAAAAGATGGTTACAGATGATGAATGTTGATTGCAATTCCTTTGCAGGCCTTGTCGCTCTTGCACTTTGACATGGACAAGATGGAGCTCGAGCTTCCTGAGGAGGATGCTCCGCGCTACTTGTCCATCTTCAAATTTTTGCCAGGAGATGTCAATGATTTGCATCCCATGAACATGGAAGAGCTCAAACGCCACCCTCCAAATGCGGAAGATCAGCAAGAAGATGATGATGAAGAAGAGAATGAACCAGATGATGCGCAGGAAGGTTGGCTAATTGAGATGGAAAACATGAACGTGCCGATGCAAATGACTTGGAGGACCCGTCTCGCAGAAAGTGGATGGTGCGTAGGGCTTCTCGGTACGTTCTTGAACCCGAGGTTGGTTTGTTTGCACATGTAGTCAGCTCATAGAGGATGAAATTAGGATCCAGGTAATCAGATGGGGCATTTAATTTGCTTGAAAACCTTTGCCTTTTCCAAGTTCGACCAAATTCAAAATTGCGGCGGTGTATTGTTGCCTAAACTTTTGTTTTTCATTCACCGTTGAACTTTTCCATTCCATTACAGTTCTGTAATTTGTGTGCGTGCTGCACTGCGATGAGCAGATGGTGCAGGTGGAAATTTGTGTGGGTGTGTTTCCTTGCAACCAGCGCTGACTTGCAGGACGCAGCCATGGATCAGGATTCCGGTGAAGAATTCCAGGCCCATGAATCTGAGGATGATTTGCTGGAGGAGGATGAAGAGGCGATCCTTCCCATGGTTCCAGCTGAGGCAGTTGCAGCTTCTCAGACAGTTGCAGCTCTTGAGACAGTTGCAGCTCCTGAGACAGTTGCAGAGGCAGTTGCAGCTCCTGAGACAGTTGCAGCTCCGGATCAGATGGTGCAAGCTGATCCTGTTCCTGCGGCTGCCTCACTCGTAGGCATGTGCAATACTGACCCGGAAATTCGATCTTTGCTGAAGTCTGGAAGAATTCAGCACCGCCAATCAAAAGATATTGAGAAAAAAGCCTCCGGTTTTCAAGCATCCTATGGCTTGACTGGGAGGTATGCCACGAGAGAAAAGGCATTGCAGGCAGCCATCACTTTCTGCAATGCCAATGCTTGAACTACAATACTGTACTGGTACAAAAGTGACAAAGTTGTTTCCAAATTGAACCCATTGCATATTGCCCACGAGAACTGGATAGATGATGCGTTGCAGAACCCTCGTGTCCAAGTTTCATTTTTGTACAGATGAAAGACTTGGCAAGAGCTGTTTGCATTTTTTTGCTGGATAGTCTAGTTGTCAAGCGGTGAATAAATTCTAGAACATCAATCCATTTTTTTTGCACAGTCCAGCAGAAAGATCATGAGCCTTGCTCGTGGCCCCTCCGGTTGCACACACTATGGGCAACAACCTAGTAGAGACCTTTGTAGTGGGCTAATGGGAAACCGTTGGTCACATGAAGAGCAGATGGTGCAATCAGTGACAATGTTGTTTCCAAATTGAATCCATTGCATATTGCCCACGGGATCTGTATAGATGATGCGTTGCAGAACCCTCGTGTCCAAGTTTCAATTTTGTACAGGTGAAAGACTTGGCAAGAGTTGTTTGCATTTTTTTGCTGGATAGTCTAGTTGTCAAGCGGTGAATAAATTCTAGAACATCAATCCATTTTTTTTGCACAGTCCAGCAGAAAGATCATGAGCCTTGCTCGTGGCCCCTCCGGTTGCACACACTATGGGCAACAACCTAGTAGAGACCTTTGTAGTGGGCTAATGGGAAACCGTTGGTCACATGAAGAGCAGATGGTGCAATCAGTGACAATGTTGTTTCCAAATTGAATCCATTGCATATTGCCCACGGGATCTGTATAGATGATGCGTTGCAGAACCCTCGTGTCCAAGTTTCAATTTTGTACAGGTGAAAGACTTGGCAAGAGTTGTTTGCATTTTTTTGCTGGATAGTCTAGTTGTCAAGCGGTGAATAAATTCTAGAACATCAATCCATTTTTTTTGCACAGTCCAGCAGAAAGATCATGAGCCTTGCTCGTGGCCCCTCCGGTTGCACACACTATGGGCAACAACCTAGTAGAGACCTTTGTAGTGGGCTAATGGGAAACCGTTGGTCACATGAAGAGCAGATGGTGCAATCCTGGGAATTCAAGACGGTTTTGTGTTTGTACAGATCAATGGTTCGTACACACCATTCACAGCTTGCCTTACAAAGACTAAAAAGGGATTTGCATTCTTTCCAGCTTGGATTCAAGACTAACACAGAATGTGCACCCTTAGGTCGAGATCAAACATGTTTGCAACTGTTTGTTGCCGCTGAGGTGCGACTTTGCTACGGGGGACAAGAACCATGCAGATGCAAAAAATCGAGTGTGATGACTTTGATGTAGCCCATCAAAGATTGACAACCTGGACTATATGTGGAAACCATCGGGATAAACAATGTTGAATTTCCTTTCATTCCTTGATTCTGCTCGTCTCGAGACCAGGTGTGGCTGGCTGGGTTTGCGCCCCCAAAATAGATGGTGCACAGTTTTTGGGTTCTAGCCGACTTATGCCTGCATGATCGAGGAGTTGATGGTGCGGGGGTCCAATTTTCATCCCAACTTAATGGCGTTGAAATCACGCACCATCTAACGTCGGATTCGCACCATATACTTTCAGAATGGTGTACCATATCCTTTCTCTTCGCTCTGGGTACCTTGGCCGTCCATGCGAAAATGCTGTGGTTGTCTTGATTGAGACATTTTTGACACCTCGGAGTCAAACACACGACAGTCAAACGCAACTCACACCAACTTCCCTGGAACCAGGCACACACAAGACGCACACAGGCGTGCCAGATCCTCACAGGATCTCTTGTGGAGGGAGCACACAAGCTCCGCTACCACGTAAAACTTTGACACACAAAGTTAGATCGCGAAAACCGCTTTCAAACCTCTCGTGCTCAAAGTAAACCCAAACCAAAACACAAACAAACGGCGATCGTTTCGCGTTTCTGCAGTATCGACTCTCCCAGGTTGTCTCACGGCGACACACTCACACACTTTTCGCTCTCGCAGGCTTGAGCCAACGTTCACGTTGGTAAACACAGTTCAGAACAGAGAAGCTAAGTGAGTTTCTGTGGGTAAAGCAAACTGGATTCCGGTCCAGTCAAGGAGATTCCAAAATCTCTACAAACTTAATTGTGCAAAAACGATTCTACCAATCTAGAAACGTGCAAAACAGGTTTCGTTCCTAAAAACCTAAGATTGGTTTCGTGCAGTTTGGTTCTCGTGTGGAATACCCTACAACGTGCAGAAAACCTAAAAAACGGCTAACTACAAACGAAAAATGGCAACTCCGTCACAACTCTTTGTGACGGAATGAGATGAGATCGATTAACTACATCACAATCACCTGCTAACTACAAAACAGAGCTCAAACTACGCAAGTCCACAAACTACAACTACAAAGCAGCTAACAACTACCTAAGTTCAAGCACAAGATCGCTACACTAGCTATACATAGGATGATTTTTGACACCAGTTTTCGTCCTGGAGATGCTACCTATATGATGACAGTTTGCGACAATGCTGAACAAATCAGGCGAAAAGGTCGATGGGCATCACAACGCATTATGGAGATCTATTTGCAAGAAGTGATCGACCTATCTGAATCAAATCAGTGAAACTAGCAAACATCCAGACATTCCCTCAGTTGCTTGCGAAGATAATTAATTTTGATGCATGGCAGATACCGGCAACAACCTGATATTTCCTCTTAAGACAGCAGCATTGAGACAGACGAAAGTTTAAAGTGGGAAATGGGTGGTATGTAAAGATCATGGACCAGCTGCCAACCACACATGCAGACCAAAGGCACAGAGGAAAACAGAGAGTTGAGTCCTTGTGTGAAAAATCATCCTATGTATAGCTAGCGAGCGATCTTGTGCTTGAACTTAGGTAGTTGTTAGTTGCTTTGTAGTTGTAGTTTGTGGACTTGCGTAGTTTGAGCTTTGTTTTGTAGTTAGCAGGTGATTGTGATGTAGTTAATCGATCTCATCTCATTCCGTCACAAAGAGTTGTGACGGAGTTGTCATTTTTCGTTTGTAGTTAGCCGTTTTTTAGGTTTTCTGCACGTTGTAGGGTATTCCACACGAGAACCAAACTGCACGAAACCAATCTTAGGTTTTTAGGAACGAAACCTGTTTTGCACGTTTCTAGATTGGTAGAATCGTTTTTGCACAATTAAGTTTGTAGAGATTTTGGAATCTCCTTGACTGGACCGGAATCCAGTTTGCTTTACCCACAGAAACTCACTTAGTTTCTCTGTTCTGAACTGTGTTTACCAACGTGAACGTTGGCTCAAGCCTGCGAGAGCGAAAAGTGTGTGAGTGTGTCGCCGTGAGACAACCTGGGAGAGTCGATGCTGCAGAAACGCGAAACGATCGCCGTTTGTTTGTGTTTTGGTTTGGGTTTACTTTGAGCACGAGAGGTTTGAAAGCGGTTTTCGCGATCTAACTTTGTGTGTCAAAGTTTTACGTGGTAGCGGAGCTTGTGTGCTCCCTCCACAAGAGATCCTGTGAGGATCTGGCACGCCTGTGTGCGTCTTGTGTGTGCCTTTTTCGCATGGACGGCCAAGGTACCCAGAGCGGAGAAAGGATATGGTAAGGGTTTTCAGGCAGGTGGACCGACTGGACCGTACCCTGTTGGAGAAGTTGGACCGAGGAGTCCGCAACCTGCGTCACCGACGCACCAAGAGCAGCCTAGTATGCCAGGAAGTCCAGGTCCGCAAGGTCCTTTGTTCACGCCAGATCAGTTGACCCAGATCGCACAGATCTTCCGCATGGGAATTGAGACTGTCGTAAGGGAAATGAGTACGAGACTTGATGGTTTGCAAGCTCAGTGACTCGCGTTCCAGAGGGAACTGCATCCTTGCACGGTGCGTGTACAGCTTGGCGTATACTAAAGTAAACTCACAAGCTAAAGCCTTCATGTTTGCCTGAAAGCCGTGATTCCTATTCATTGGCACGTTTTTGATAATGATGCAGTGGACAAGCCACTGGGTCCCATGGCAAATCGATTTTGTGGGTGTTTTTGTTTGGGCTCTGGCCCCGTTCTTTGTTTTGGTTTGTTGTTTTGCCGTTTGCTTCGCTGTTTCCTCTGGCGAAACGCAAGTCTGGCTGGGGGATTTGCGGGTCGTCGTGTTTGGTTGGCCTGTGTTTTTTGTTTGTGTCCAGTTATAATCGATTTGCCGCCTCATTGGGCTTGATTTGCCCTTGTACAAATCTGTTTCCTGCTTATGCTCATGTAAGGACCGAGCCTTAGCGCGACATCGGCTACACTCGAGGAAAAAAAAAAGCAGCCTTGCACGGTGCGAGACCGGCTGATGCATCCTTGTCTTCAGGTTTAAGCAGTGGACCTTCACGGTTTGGTGAACAGCCACCCACGAGTCCAGGACCTGCGTTCCGACCTGTGCGGTCGCCGCCAGGTGTAGCACAAGTGACACCCCAGAGAGGGGAGAGAAATCCGAATCAAGATGACGAGAGAGATGGTCGTGACATCTTCAGTAAATCTGAAAAATGGTTACCTCCTATGCCCACTGTGGATTTCAGGAACTGGAGAACCCGTGCAGATGAAGTCCTTGGATTTTCGGACTGGGTTCAGGCTTTACGTGCTTGGGTTTCCTTAGGAAGTGACATCTTTGCCTGGGAGATTGCCCAGTGCATTGGTTGGGAACAAGAGATTCATATGTCTGTGCTGAAGCCCGCTCAACAGACTCGCAGTGCGCGTCTTCTTGCAATCCTCATTCAGACGTTTAAGGATTTCCCAAGGGGGAACACCATGCTGCAAGCTTATGTTGAAGGAGTTGGTGTTGATGGAGCGTTCTTGGCAACTAGAGGTACGAGTGGTTTTGAAGGTTTGCGTTTGTTGGCAAGAGAGTTTTCTTTGCGTTCAAGGGCAGAAGCGTCTTTCTTTCGCACTGAGTTTTTGGCAAAGACGTTCAAGGCGTCTGTTGGTGTTACGCAGGTGAGTGACATCATCCGCCAGATCGACGTTGGACTGTCAAGGTTTCGCAAGATGATTGAAACTCTGCCTGCAACTGTGTCCAGAGTTGGACTTGAGGTGC